AAATCACCGATGATTTTGTGCTGTATGTCCCCAAATATTTCTGGGGACAAACTTAGGCTAAAACATGTCATAGTGTATCTTGAATAAACTTTAATTGGATGTCCTGCAGTTTTCTTTGCTAAATCTGGCCCCGGTTCTGAGGGCTGCACTTCACGACGAGGTAGCCCCAGACACAGGGCCTGGGACTGGGCCCCGAGCCAGGGGCGGGTCGGGGGTGGGGGTGGGGGGGACACATGTGGCGGCTGGGCTCTCGGAGGCTGAGCGGCCTGATTCACAGCAACACAAGGTGAGATATTTTCGGCATCTGCCGCCGACCCAGGCTTAACTCGAGCTTCAGAAGCTGCTTCTCTGCAGCCGCTGACCTATTTCTAGGCAGCGACTTTCCCATATCATGAGTCTGTGTATTACTTTTAAGGGACATTCTGCAGACTAAACGTAAGCCACGGTCAGGACTCCTTTCTGGCAAATGACTGGAGGCTCTGGAAGGGGAGTGTCAGCTGTGCGGTGAAGCCCTGATTGAATCTGTAATTAAAGTCAGCCTTGCCGGGAGCCGCTGTGCTAACCTGTAGTGCCTCCTGTTCGGCTCTTGGAAGAGCCGTGCTCTTGGAATTCGGGGGAACTTCGGTTCTTATTCTATAAAGAGCAGCTTCAGAAGAGATACGCTGAGTGGCAATTATCAGCACGAATGTCACATGTATTGAGTGAAGCTCTTTAAATATGCTAATGACTCAGTCCTCACAGCAGGAAGGAAGGATTTTACAGATGAAACTGGAAATAAAGGTTCAGAAACGACCCCCAGAGGGGTGCCTGGGGGGCTCAGTTGGTTAAGCATCTGACTTTGGCTCAGGTCATGATCTCACAGTTTGTGGCTTCGAGCCCCACGTCGGGCTCTATGCTGACAGCTCAGAGCCTGGAGCCTGCTTTGGATTCTGTGTCTCCCTCTCTCTCTGCCCCTCCCCCGTCATGCTCTGTCTCCCTCAAAAATAAATAAACATTGAAAAAAGAAAGGGCTCATGGGTGGTGACAGTGCTCGAATCTAGAGTCTGGCAAAGTCTTTCCTGTCTTAGGAAATGAGAGAGAAGGACACAGACAGAGAGAAAGAGAGACAGAGACACCCAGAGAGACAGAGACAGGGAGATGCACAGAGGGACAGACAGTGGCAGACGGAGAAGGAACTGCAAAATGAGGACAAAGTGTAGCCCAGGACCATGAAGTACAGCTGTTGCCCCTCAGTGAGGCTGGTCCTCTGCTCTGGGTGGGAGCCTGGGGCTGTGGGGTCAGCGTGGCCCCTCAATGCTCAGTCCCGGCCTTCGGTGGCAGGGAGCCAGCTTGTGGACAGCCCTGCCCGGTCAAATTCTGAGCAGGTAGAGAGCTTCCTGGGGGCCGGCCTCTGCTCTTCCCTGTGCCTTCTCCTGACAACGTGTCCCCAAGGGGGACTTGAGGCACACGGTCTGTGGGGAAACACGGCGAAGCATGAGAAGAACTTCTCTCCGGGAGCCCCTGGTTCCAGACCGCCAGCACCCCATGCCTTCCCTGGTCTGCAAGGTCCCGGGCGGGTTCACAGCCACAAGAACGGCCGCCTGCCTGGTTCCTGCCCCTGCCTTCCGGGGGGAAGGGGGGGGGACGCCCACTGTCAGAACCGCCTCCCTGTGAGGTGTCTGCCTGGTTGTCGGGGGCCTTGCTTTCCTTTATTATTACGTTCAGTCTCCAGGGCTCACCACTGTGCTGGCCGGTAGCAGGTGCTCCGTAAACGTTGTTGGACGGATTGACCCGTCCGGGGAAAGCACAGAGGTAGTGCCCTCGGGCTAGTGTGTGCAAATGTACGACCTTACTATGGAACTGCTATGTCACCGCGTGTTGAGGGAGAATCTGTGTTGATGGACTTGCAGGGACAGTTCCTGACTTTGTGGAGAGAGGTGGTGTCCCCAGAGCTCGGTCCCAGTGCCACTGCTCAGGGCAGGGCCGGTCTTCAGGCCGAAGAGGCTCTGGGTCCCTGACCCTGGCACCCGGGAAGGGGCCTGAAGGGCTGAGTGGGTTTCCCGGAGCTGCTGGGCCTCGCTGGGGTCGCGGCTCCCTGCCAAGTGCCCGGCTGCGTGGTAGTGGGGGACCCTGCCGTGTCTGTGTCCTCTGCACATGTGCACCATTTTGAAGGGTGAGTTTCAGCCAGATTTTAGTATTTCTGCGATTCGCTTGGGGGAAGGCAGTGACAAATTAGTAAAAAGCTGAGAAGGACTCGACACAAAGTATTTTCAAAGAAACGCATTTTAGTATTTTAGGTACAGAAGAAGCTGGAGAAAATGTTGAGAAAATCAATGTGGTCTCAAAGCGTGTGCTTCAGCCAACACGGTCTCTTTAGCGGGATGGCAGGCCGAGTCTGGTCTGCCTTGGGGCCGCTAGGTGCAAGCTTGCGGGGAACGTGGCTCCCTGGGCTCCGGGTCCGTGGCTGCAAGATAGACTCCCTCCACCGGGTCTGGGCTGAGGGGAACCCCCTTGTCCGCTGCTGTCCCTTCCCCCTGCTTTGTTCGCAGACAGTGCTCTCCTCGGTCCTGAGCCAGTTCCTGGCACATATGAGGGGCTTACTGTATGTAAATTCAATAAATTTAGAAGATGAAAAGTACTAAATTAGTATTTGTATCCTGTTTTTCCTGTATCAGATTTCCCAAATCTGTGACTGCCGTCGTGTTCAACAGAACAGCGAGTGGCTTTGTAGACTGGCTCTGTCCTCTCCACAAGTCCCTGCCTCCAGGGACAGGTGTCTCCAAGCCATTTCACATGATGCGTTATCCCAGCTCCTGGCTGAATGCTGGAGCCACCTGGCTCACAGTGGCACCCGTCTTCATTTCAAATGACAGGCGGATCCCCACGGCTTCTCAAGGTTGGTTACACTGCTGCCAGCTTGCCCTTGGACACGTGCGCTCGTGGCTGGGGACCCAGATGGACAGCTCATACAGCCTCATGGTTCCCTGGTTTCCTTACACAAGAGTTCAGATGCAGTCAACAGCGAGATTACACTTTGATTCTCTTGGAAATTTCAGCCAAGAAGAAGTTCTTAATGTAAGTTTTTAAAGCTTACTTATTTATTTTGAGAGAGAGACAGAGAGACACAGAGAGTGAACGCAGGAGCAGGGGAGGGGCAGAGAGAGTGAGAGAGAGACCGAATCCCAAGCAGGCTCTGCGGGGCTCGAACTCAGGAACCGTGAGATCACGACCTGAGACAAAACTAGGAGTTGGACACTCAACTGATGGGACCACCCAGCGCCCCTCAACCAAGAATTGAAATCCTGTCTTTGGGCTCAGGCATTAGAGGGCAGAGTGACATTTCTTAGGGCCACACAGACAACCTGAATCCCTGGTTCCTAACTGTGCTCACGAGGCTACCACGCATGTGGATTTCTCCAGAGCCTTCGTGACCTTGAGTGGGAACAGGACGCAGGAGTGTTAATACTTTCTTTGTGAACTGCTTTGTCACCCCCAAGAAAAAGTGTTTACATCTCGATAGATTTTAGGTTTAGCTGATTTTCTGTTTCTGTGGCTGCATCAGGGTTCTGGACTCACTTGCAGACTGACTTCCTGCGTTCCCTGTATTCCCTGTGTGGACCCAGTGCGGCAAAGCAGGCTGGTATGCCCTGGGCACAGGTGTGGGTGACAAGCGGTCACCTGGCTTGAGGGCACACACACTGAGATCCAGCGGGGTGTCACCACAGGCGGTGTGAACTGAGGCCAGGTGCCGCCCGCCGGACCTAGAGCTTGAAGGCTGTCCCGAGTGTCACTGCACAGGTCGCGTCCTCTAGGCCTGTAATGCGGCTTCAGTGTTGCCCTAACCTTGGCACCGACAGGATCTGCAGGACCTTTGTGCCCCGTAAGCGCAGAAGCGCAGGAAAGCAGGGCGAAGGAGCCCTGGGCCGTCGTCACCCACCCCCGGCTGGCCTGGTTTTAGTGTGACAGAAGCTTTTGAAAACAGTCCGAGAGGCATAACCCTGGACTTGCCAGCTGAACTGTCTCCCTGACGACTGTTGCCGAAGCCGACGACCTTCCTTCTTTCTGTTTATCCGACGTGCCTTGTGCCGCAGTCTTAACCCCGCTCCGAGCCGTGCACCTGGGCCTGTGGACACAGGCTTCAGAATGAGTCAGTTTAGGGTCAAGGGGTTTTTCTGTGGAAATTCTGAGGCAGATAGTGAACCTGATCGATGCCGCTGATTAATGATGAAGATTCCAATGTTGCCGCGGTCGACAAAGACCGGAGAAAAGTCACCTTAGAAACGTGCGTGTGTTTGCAGACCTGGTTTTATCACCTGCAGGGGGGCGGTCGCCCTGCTAACCCGGAGTGGATTCCGGCGTGGCTCTGCCTTTGATGGCTGTGTGGACCCACCACCTTCCTTATCGGAAACATCTAGCAATGTCTCCCAGGAGAGAAGTGTGAGCACAAAGAAGACAAAGGCGGGGAAGCCGCCTCGCTCCTGGTTGTCCCGCAGGAAGTGGGATTCGCCTCGGGCAGTGCCCTGTGTTTTCCTGGGGCCTCAGGGTCAGGTCAGAAAGCCTGGTGGTTGTGCGACGGGAGCTTGGGAGCTTCAGAAGCGCAAAGGCCACCTCGAGGAAACGCGGTCACGTGGGACAAGTGTGGCGCCGGACGACAAAGGGTGTGACGTGCCGGCTCTCCTCCCGCTCGGGGGCCTTTCTCACGCGGGACGCTCTGACCACCCTTTCCGTGGCCAATCTTTGGAGATACGTGTTTCCTTCAGACGGGGCACCCCTCCCCCAGTCACCAGAGCAGCTGACGTCTGTCACGGCCACTGAGCTTTGGGCCAGCACGCATCAGCCACCAGGAGGCTTAAATAGTAACAAGTGATACCACGTGCTCGTGGGGGACTTCGCGGTTTGCGGGTGCCGTGACCCACACGACGAGGGCCGTGTTGTTCTCTTCGTCCGAAGCTTCCCACGTGGCGCTGTAGGGATGGCTCGGTGCCTCCCTGGGCACCTGACTGCTTCTTCGGGGCCTGCAGGCTGCCCGGCTTCCAGAAGTGTGAGTCCCTCTGAGATTTTCACAAGCTCACTCACTCTTCTGCTCAAAAGGATCGCTTGGCGTCTGCTCGTAGCAAGGACCAGAATCGGAGGATTGTTGGGTTTTCTCGGATGTGCCCAAAACGGAGGGCGTGTTGACCCTGTGGGATGCTCCTGGGCGTTGCAGGGGAGCGGGCCCCTGCCTGTGTGGACAGCGGCGGGGTCCCCAAAGCTGTTGTAGAACGGGCCTTCCTCTCCCAGACACGTGTCTTGCACACAAGGGTCAGACGTGGAAAGGGCTGCAGACCGGAGAGGCAGCGTTCCTCAAGCTGCCCCGAACACTTCCCACCATGGCATTCCCACCTGGCATTCCCAGGTAGCAGGAAGCCAAGGGAGAGACCTGACCAAGGCCTGTCTCCGAGAGCCCGTGGCTCCTCTGCAGGAGCACGCGGGCAGCCGCCACGGCAGGGGCGTGAGGAGGGTGAGGTACAGCTCTCTCTAACTGTACTTACACCCGAAGAGCGACCGTCGATGGCAGCTGGACAGTCTCCTCGGGGAGCCCGGGGAACCATCTCCATTGTTGTGGGAGGAACCGGGGTTTTTAATGACAAAACCCCCCCACACACACGTGAAGAAAGCACAGCGTTCTCGTGGGAGCCAAGGCTTTCTTCCGGTGAAGTGAGTTTGTGCCTCAGTTTCTCCATTTCCACATCGGCTTTATGAAATAATTTCCTTTCGTAGCCCTTGGAATGCGCAGAGGCTGAGTGAGGCCACTGCTATGAGCAGGGCCCGGGATGGCAAAGGGTGGGCCACAGGGGCGCAGCCTGGGTCCCGGCCGGGCCTGCCCCCCACCCCCGCGGTGGCCCTGGTGTCCGGGCACCGTACCTCTGAGCCTCCGCGGTTACCTTCCTCAACTTTGGTTTTCCAAGTAAAGGGTGTCTGGCAGGAACTTAAAGTTAAGTAAATAAAAGTTACTCCTTCTTTAGGTAAATCGTAACAACCTTAAGGAAAATGAAACATCTCCTAGGGTCGTTGGGCCAGGTCGTGGAGTGGCTGGTGTTTCAGGTGCCGTGAGCCCCGCATCTGCCTGAAGGGGACCTCAGTCGCTGTCCGTGCCGGAGTTCAGCAGACAGCCAGGTGCGCTCCTCCGTGGACGGCTCGTAGGTCCGCAGCCACGAGGACAGAGGCCACCCCATCACACAGCGGGTCTTGGAAAAACAAAGATTAACAGTCTTCCTTAATAAAACCCCTTACAGGCAACTCCTCAAAGTGAAAAAGTAAAAAGGCAAAAACCAAAGGGAAAGACCAGTTCCCAAACCAAGAATGAGGGCCAGCAGTGCCCTTTCTGCCATAACACAGACATCTCCAAAGTGACCTGTGCCCACGTTCACTGAGTCCTCCATAAGTGAGGGGCTCTCCAGGGAGGCTGTAAACAGTGACAGCATGGCCTCTGCCTCGGTTTCCCCACCTAGTTGCCTCTTCAATTTTTTTTTTTTTCAACGTTTATTTATTTTTGGGATAGAGAGAGACAGAGCATGA